CCCCCAAAACTCTCTACTTAACATACTTTCTTGTTTACCCCAAATCCCCTCTCTGACACCTCCCTCAATATGAATGTAAGCACCTCGAGGGGTGGGATTTCTATTCATTGTGCCTCCTGTGCACCTAGATCATGGCACCATACTGCTTGTTGAATGAATTACTGTGTGAATGCATTCAACCGTGTGAAAGACAGCAGGGAAAACAAAGAACTGGAGAATGGGAAGAAGGAAACTGCAATTATATCTGCAATTTTATTTCTTTAATATCCCAAAAGATTTAAAAGTACAGCAAAAATATTAATTCTGAAATACTAGAATTCGGTGGTAGATAAAATTCTTTTGGGGATTTTTCTGTATTTTACAACTTCTCAAAACGAAAAATGTATTCAAAGCATCTAATATAATTTGTGCCCATCAGGGAAACAAAGATTAAGTGACTTACTTGAAGGTGGCGAGTAGCAAGCTGCTGAGGGGGCCTAATACCCAATTTTCTAACTCTCTCTTGAGCCACAGAAGGCACTGCTTGTGCTGTACTACATCAAGTTATACTTCACATCACATATTGAAATGGTATGCTCTTACCTGTATAATGCTGTGTAATATCGATCTGATATTGTCTGCTGAGAATTCATTACTTGGAAAAGCAACATTAAAGCCTGCACACTGGTATTAAAATTCACAACATGCAACACTTTAAACAGTGTATCCACCTGCTCCCTCACTTTGTCATCACCAGTCTGGGAATAAGGGTATGCCCTATTCACACCTGTTAAAAGGGCACTAAGCATTTTTGATTCAATATCTTTTTTCTTGATACAAGTCTGAAAAAAGCAAAAGTAAATAGTTATTAATTTGTTAGCCAGTTCACTTTCTTCATGGGAGAGGGCCATCTGATTTAAAAAGCAAATTGCATAATATTGAGCTTTGGAGCTGATATTTGAGCGGAAGAGTAGCCTTTCAACTTCACCACACACAACTCCTTTCATATTGGGATGTTTACAAAGTAATGTCTCTAACAGATGGGAGGCTTTTGTGGCAATTCTGTTCTGAGGATCTCCCAGTTTATTTACCACTTGCACAAGAAGAGCCTTTTCTTCCTCAGGCTTGTTACAAAGCAGCTCATGAGCCACAGTAAGGGCTCGAGTTTTAGTGGTTACTAATGTATCATGACTTAAAGTTTCTAAGACCTGCACAAATTCAGCCACTAAGTGTTTCAGCTGGTGTTCAAAATACCATAATATCAGTCTTCTATCTCTTGAGTCCTTGTTGCCACTGGACAACTGTTCGAGTTTGTCAAAAGGATGCTGGCTGAAAATCCTCAGCTTCCGATTGTCTGGCAAAAGGTCTGTTATGAGCAACTCTTTGAAAGTATCCAAGGCCATGAGGCATTGCTGTTTGCTGCCCTTCTTTTTAACAAGGTTCACAAGAGTTTCTACAAACTGAAGTGTGTGAATGGCATCATCTTGAATAAGAAGAATCATGGCTGCCATCCTGTCACCTAGTGTCCCTGATGACACAATTGCCTTCATCCAGGTAGAAGAGGCTCCCTTTTGACTATTTGTCTTACTTTTGAATAAGTTGATTTCATGCTCATACAGCTTCTGAGCAAGGGTTTTGTAGTCAGACACAATATCCTGAGGCTGGGGTTTCAAAGAATATTCATTGCTATACTCCAGATCATACCATTTGCCTCCAGGCTTAAGCAACAAAGTCTGTCTCTCAAAAAATTCAAAGATGTTCTGTTTCTCTTTCTTTACTTTCGGTGTGGTATAGCCGTTCTCATCAGAATGTGGTTCTGGCGTATTCTTATTTTTCACCTTATTAACTGGTGTCCTTTGACCTTCTGCTGCATTTTTGTTATTTATTTTAGGTATTTTTACTTCTTTTTTGCTGAAATTTTCTTTTTTAGCTGGTTCATCTTCTTCGATTAAGCAAGCTTTTGTATACTTGGCCAAATTAAGATTTTGAATAAATGCTTCCAATTCACCTTGTTGAAGATCATCAATTGCTCCTTTTTTGCCTCCATCGATCACTTCCTCATTCTCATCCAAAGTAGCCAGCATAAGGTAATCTTGCTGCATAAAAATGTAAGTTAAAAATACATTACGAATGTGAAAAATAAAACCATAAAATAATAGGAAATACAATATAATTTTTAAAATAATTTCAGAACAGGAAAAAATCCTTTCAAAGTTGACATAAAATTCAGGGTCCACAAAGGAAAATCATTCCCTCTCTTTCTTTTACACACACACACACACACACACACACACACACACACTCTTTTTCATTTTGATATAGGAAAAAAGACAAATTATAAACTGGAAAAAAAATACAAGCAACTCACAGCAAGACTCTGTCTCAAAAAACAAACAAACAAACAAACAAAATCCACCACAACAAAGTAATTGGGTTTAATGCCTTAATATAAAAGTCTCTACACATCAGTAAGTGGCAACCCAAAAGAAAAATGTGCAAAGGATACGAAAAGTTCATAGAAAAAAAAGTGTTCTTTAAAAATATGAAAAGATGCTCAACCTCACTGACATTTAGAGAAATCCACATTAAAACCACAATGAGACATCCATCTTTTAATTTATCAGATGAACAAAGATACATTTATGAAAGGCGGTGCTGGAAAAGGGGTGGGGGAAAGGGCACTTTCATACATGGTTGATGTGAGTGTAAACTGACACAACCTCCATGGAGGACAATTTGTCAACTCCAATCAAAACTATTTAATACAAGGCACACATCCATTGACCCAGCAGCTTCATTTCTAAAAATTATTTGAGACGGGGTCTTGCTCTGTTGTCCAGGCTGGAGTGCAGTGGCATGACCATGGCTGACCTGCAGCCTCAACCTCCCAGGCTGAAGGGATCCTCCAGCCTCAGCCTGTAGCTGAAACTACAGACATGTGCTCCCATGCCTAGCTATTTAAAAAAAATTTTTTTTTTTTTTTTTTGTAGAGATGAGATCTCCTTATGTTGCCCAGGCTGGTCTCAAACTCCTGGGTTCAAGGTATCCTCCTACCTCAGATTCCTAAAGTGCTGGGATTACAGGTGTGAACCACACTGTGCCTGGACCGTTTCTACAAATTAGACTACATATATACTTATAAAAGTGGGGAAAAATTATGTTTAAAGTTATTAACTGTAGCATTATTTAAAATAGTGAAAGACTGTCAACATTTTTTTTTTTTTTGAGATGGAGTCTCGCTCTTGATGCCCAGGCTGGATGCAGTGGCGTGATCTCGACTCACTGCAACCTCCACGCCTCTTGGGTTCAAGTGATTCTCCTGCCTCAGCCTCTCCAGTAGCTGGGATTACAGGCGCCCGCCAACATGCCCAGCTAATTTTTGTATTTTTAGTAGAGGTAGGGTTTTGCCATATTTGCCAGGCTGGTCTTGAACTCCTGACCTCAGGTGATCCACCCGCCTCTGCCTCCCAAAGTGCTGGGATTACAAGCGTGAGCCGACGTGCCCGGCCACTGGCAACAATTTAAATATCCAAATAAATGTATGGTTAGATAAATTAAGACGGACAAAATGATTTATGCAGCCATATCAATGACACAGAACTTTATGCACTGATATAGAAGGACCTCTAAGACGGAAAAGAAAGCAAAATGTAGAGACAGGTATATATACATATGGTACCATTTGTGTAAAAAATAATACACGCGTCTGTATATGCTTGAAAAGGTATATAATAGCCCTAGAAGATATAAAATACACTTGTAAAAATAATTGCTTTCTATCAGGGAAATCGTATGGCTAAGATAAAAGTGGAAAAATCTGACTTTTCACTATATATCTTTTTAAGTTTGTATCACGTGTATCATGTGTATATATTACCTATTCAAAACTAAAATATAAACAAGCACGGAGCAAACTGTGAATTTGCCTATCTCTAACCAAACCCTCTACCCTGAAAGTCCAGTCTTCAAACAAAATAATATTAAAAACAAAGTTAATTTCTGTCCCTTATCTGCTTAAAATCTTCCAGTGGTTTTGCATCAAACTCGGAGCAAAAGCCTGCCCTCTTACCCCTTGGACCTCATTTCTTACTATTTTCCCCTACCTCACTTTGCCTCAGTTACACTGGCATTTTGGCTGCTTATGGGGTAGGTTAGGCACACTTCGGCCTGTCTTTCCATTTGCAGCTCCAACTGAATGGAATGTCACATGGCTCACCCTTTCTTCTTCTTTAGGATTCTGCTCAAACGTCTCACTGATGTATTCGTCGATCACATTTAAAACTAACGCGCTCCCACTCCTTATCGTCCTTCCTTGTTTTATTTTTTCCATAGCACTATCCCGCGTCTGCTGTACTACGTATTTAGAAGTTTGTTTACAGTTCTCTCCATTAATTAGGATGTTCCAAAAAAGAGGGCTTCTGGAGCATACAGTGACACGGGCATGCATCCTATGAGAACAGAATTGAAAATTCCAATACCACTGGTGTTCAAAACACTCACACCACAAGATCCGGACCAAGAAAAGCTACTCTCCGACCTGATGGAGTGATGGTTACACTACGTCAATAAAATGAGAGTATCGCCTACATCTTAAGAAAGGCCAGAGAATTCAACGTTCAATGTGAAACTTTTCTTTTGTAAACAGCAGTGGAAACCAGCGTGGGAAGCGCACCGAACACATGCTTCCGAGGCTGGGATCTGGGTCCTGGAGGCCCGCGCTTTACGCCGCTCGGAAGCAGCGGTGCAGTCAGCCTAGCCACACTCGGGACTCCCCACGCCTGACCCCTTTCCCCGAAGCCCGCGGTTGTTACCTTGGTGCCTCCAAGCCGTAACACTTCCTCCAGGGAGAACCCATTCTCGGCTTCACTAGGATCATCCTCGACCTCCTCGTCCGGATCTCCTACCGCCTCCTCGGGGCGCCAAGGCCTCTTGGCATGAAACTCCAAAGGCTTCTTGGCTGCCGCCATGACTGGCAGAGCACTCGCGCGTGGAACTCGGCTTACTTCCGCTCGGCCCGTTACGTACTTCCTGCCGGGCGTGTCTTCTCCCGGAAATAGTCTAAGCTCTAGTTCCTGGCGGAGCGAGCCAGCTTATGAATTTCGGCATGAGTGTCTTGGTGCGGTCAGGTGTGGGGCCGCTGTGCGCTCTGGCGCGCGCAGGTAAGCGTCAGTCCGCTGGAATCCCGGTTGCCGTGGAAAGGCGTGAGGTGCCTTCCTCAGCTCCTCAGTTGGGAGCTCCGGGACATTAAGGGCTCGGGGGCACACTTCCACCTTGAAGGTACCTTGGGCTGGAAAGGGCCCGGTACAGACGCGATGGGGCTGCGTGGTCGTGGGCAAGTGGGGGCTTTCTCTGCGCCCTGTGGGCGTGCTAAGCATAGCCCGCGGTCTGCGATGGGGCGAGATTGAGGGTTCACGAAGCTGCTTTGAAAACGCTAAGGCTGCTTGCGCTCGTGAATATTAAGATTTATCATGGGACCTGTTTAATTTGTGTTTTTCGCAGCCATTCCCTCTATTTGGAGAGGGAAATACTTCAGCTCCGGGAATGAGCCTGCAGAAAACAACCTGGTGACGCCGATGCTGAGGCATCTTATGTACAAAATAAAGTCCACTGGCCCTATCACTGTGGCCGAGTACATGAAGGAGGTGTTAACTAACCCAGTCAAGGTATGGGTCGGGTATCCCGAAGACTAGGCCCTCTCTAGCTGATTTGCGAAGTGCGAGCCAGGAGGGAGAGGCCCGAAGGTCCTCAGCCCAGGCAGTGGGGGTGCCTGCCAGGGAAAGAGCCGTTTCTGAGAACCTGGGGACAGATAATTTGTCAATTGGTTAAGGCTGGCTCAAGTCAGAGTCAGTGCCAATAAAGAGGACAGGACACGGTCCAAGAGTGTTTAGGAGACAGAATGTAGCTTATTGGATTTATGATGCGTAAAGGATGACTTTCCTATCTTGGCTATGGTAGGTGGTGTGGATTCATTGCTTTGGGAGCAGGGAATGCAGCAGGAGGAAGGATGGAGAGTTCAGTCTGATATATGAATTTGAAGTGTGTCGTTCTCTTAGGTGGAAATCTCCAACAGGCAACAGGAAATAAGAATTTATTGCCTGGAAAGTTGTGTTGAAATGGCCTCAGCTGGCATCGGAGACATGTGCTGGTGAGAATGCAGTCTGTGTCTTCACTGTTCTAGGATTAAGCACAATCACAGCTTTCTGAACCACATTACCTTGCCTGTTCTACAGACCCATTTGGTGAAAGCCTGTAGTCCTTTATTTTAGAATATTTCACCTTTTGTTGGGTTGAAATATGACCTCTGTGGAATTCTGGGGTTGGTTTCGTCATTGCTGTTGGATATGGTGACATGACTCGTGTCGAGGTTTACCCAAGGCCAGTGTCTTTCTTTCAGTGCCGGTGAGCAGGGCTACAAGATAGGTGGCTTAGCCTAGTGTGGTGGTAGGAGAAATAGAAGAGGGTGGTTTAGAAATGGACTGACAGCATTTTGCCGTGGATTGAGTGATGGAACGGAGGAATCAAGACTGATTCGTAGTTTTAGCTTGAGCAATTGGGTGATGATGGTACCTTCGATTGAGATTAAGACAGACAGGACCAGGTTTGGAGGAGTACTGGGGAGAAGGCCTACAGTGGGAGCTGCATTTTATACATATTTTGTTAGCAATGACATCCAGGTGGAGATAGAAAGTTGACAGTTGGCTGTAAGAGTCTGATGTTCAGAAGAAAGATTGGGCAGGCATATATACATTTGCTTGTCATCAGTATATAAGTGATATTTGAAGCCAAAGAACCAGGGAGAGTGTATGGAGAGAAAGGAAGGTTTCCCAACATTGAGACTTAGGGTAACTCTAAAATTTAAGAGGACCCTTTAATAGAAATCAGGGGTTTCATAAAGCTGGATGGAAAAAATATGACACCTTTATTTTCACTAACTTTCAACTGAAATTTAGCATTTCTTCAATTATGAACATACACAGCAACCAGTAGCATCAGCAATACTTGTGACTTTGTCATCTGTGGAGATCGTTGGTATTTTCTTATCATAATACAGTGATCACAGGCATCTCAGAATATCATTGTGCTCATCCTTCAAAATTTTGTTAATTATTGGGTCTTTGGCTTGATTATGTGCTTTTTTTTTTTTTTTTTTTTTTTTTTTTTTAAAAAAGACGGGGTTTCACCATGTTGGTCAGGCTGGTCTTGAACTCCTGACCTCAGGTGATCCGCCTGCCTTGGCCTCCAAAGTGCTTGGATTACAGGTGTGAGCCACCACGCCCGGCCTGTTTGGTTTTTTTTTTGAGACAGAGTCTCACTCCGTCGCCCAGGCTGGAGTGCAGTGGTGTGATCTCAGCTCAGTGCAGCCTCCGCCTCCTGGGTTCAAAGGATTCTTGTGCCTATATGCTTCCACACCTGGCTAGGTTTTTTCTATTTTCAGTAGAGATGGAGTTTTGCCTTGTTGGCCAGACTGGTCTTGAACTCCTGGCCTTATGTGATCTGCCTGTCTTGGCTTCCCAAGGTGTGGGGATTATAGGCGTGAGCCACTGTGCCCAGCCTGATTATGATTTTTAATGCACTAGTAAAGAAGTATATGTATCACATTAAAAAAAAAAGTGTGATACATTTTTTCAGATATTTGTTTTGTAGTTCTATGCATTTAGAAGCACTCTGTGAAGGGGCCTATAGGCTTCCCTGGACTACCAGGGTGGTTCATAATAAATAAGGGTAAATATCCCTATCATGTTTCCTTGTGAATGGAAGTAGAAAGCTTAGAAGGAGACATGTATAGAATGAAAAACTTTTTTTAAAGATAGCAGTGACTTGATTTATTTTGAATGCTGAAGGGGGAAAGTTGAAGCTGGCAGAGAGAGGGGGATGATTAACAGGATCCATGGGAGTTGTATGAGGAATAGCAGTCCAGAGCACAGGTGGAGGGATTAGGTTTGGATAAGAGGAGAAGGGGAAGGTATTTCATTCTTTGAGTCCCCAGGAACAGATGGGATTAGGTGGAGGCCAGGTGGGATTGGGAAGCTGAGGAAGTTGTATTTTATAATATTCTTTAATTCCTGAGTGAGGCCGAGGCCCATGTCACCTGTGGTTAGGTGGTAGAATAGGAGCTTTAAAAGCATAGGAAATTTTAAACACAACTCTTGAGTGTTTCTTGAAGGTTAGGCATCATGCTAAAACTTGAGATATGAAGATAAGTAAGGCATGATCTTCTTCAGCAAACAACAATACTTTGTGGTGAAGAACATAGACAAATAAGCTCAGCAAAGGTGGCGCTGGATTTGGCCTTAGGTTGGAGGGCCAGAGGAGGTCAACAAGGTGGCATTTGAGCAGATTCAGAGGATGAGTATAAGACTTAGGGAGCGATGAAAGGGGAGAAGGACGAGGATTCGCAGTGGCATGGACATCTGGACAAGCAAGGCTAATTAAAAAAACCCTTTTTCTGTAGCTATAATATTCATGTGGAAAAGTTCATAAATCACAAGTTTATAGCTCAATGAATTTTCTCAAAGCAAAAGCTCTTGTGTAACCAGTACCCAAATCAAGAAACAGAACATCAGCAGCAGGCCGAGCTCTTATGCGAGACAGAAAGTGTTAGAATTTGGAGAGGAGGCTGGAGGAGTCGGCAGGGTCTTACTGTGTTGCGTGTGGGAGTGGGGAGGGGAGGAAGGGTGTGGAGTGCAGAGATGGACGTTCCGTGACTTCTGCCTTTACGGTCAAGGTGTAATTGTTTTTCTGCTAGTTTTGTAAAATGACTATCACTTCGTAAAATTTGGGTAAAGACACCGTGTTTCCCTTGCTTATTTAGAGGAGAGAACTTTCTTACTAAATAATTATTTCACTTTTACATTATTTAAGATTTTGGAGGGGTGTTTTAAAAAGCCTTATTTGAAAATTAATTTTTTTTCTCTGTTTTCTCTTTTTACTCAGGGTTATTACGTGCACCGTGACATGCTAGGTGAAAAAGGAGATTTCATTACTTCACCTGAAATAAGTCAGATCTTTGGAGAGGTAATATTCAATGTGAAGTATGAATGAAGCTACTACAAACATTTGAGAGCAGATAAAATTGTATTATTCTATAGACGTGTTCTACAGCTTTTTTGTGATTCATCAAAAGTTTTTATAGTAGTCTATGTACCGAGGGAATAGAGAGGCAATGGAGGGGAAGACAATGGTAGAGTAATTGAAAAGTTTATACTTCACTGTAGGAAGGGAAATGGAGAAGTAAGAGGGACCAAGAGAAAGAGAAGGAAAAGAGGGGATCATAAAGAGGATGGAAAAAAGAGAATCAGATGATACCAGAGAATGGAAGAAGGAAGAGAGACAAAAGGAAAGGTGAATAAAGAAGTAGAGAATGCCCAAGAAGGAAGAGAGAAAAGATAAAAAAGAGCACTGAAGAATTAGTGGAATTAAGATAAGCTCTAAAGCTCCCAGTCATGATTTTGGCCATAGCTACAGTAAAAGTCTTCTTTTATTTATTTATTTATTGAGACAGAGTTTTGCTTATGTTGCCCAGGCTGGAGTGCAATGACGTGATCTTGGCACACTGCAACCTTCCGCCTCATGAGTTCAAGGGATTCTCCTGCCTCAGCCTCCTGAGTAGCTGGGATTACAGGCATGGTACATGCCTGGCTAATTTTATATTTTTACTAGAGATGGGGTTTCTCCATATTGGTCAGGCTGGTCTCGAACTCCTGACCTCAGGTGATCTGCCCGCCTCAGCCTCCCAAAGTGTTGGGATTACAGGCCAGCCACCGTGACTGGCCAAGTCTTCCTTTAACAAACAGAATTCTAGTTCATTTCTACATAAGTACCTTCTGTGAATTTAGAAATAGGAAATGGTGTACAAGAGGAAGTAGAATGTGGGTATTGAAAAGCATTAGTTATATAAGAGCCATGTAATTGTGTAAATCATATGAAGAAATGGCATGATCACATTTCATCTGTTTATTTGCTTTCAAATATTAATACCTTTCTGCTAGTGATATCCTCTTATCTATGTCATGGACCTTTTATAGCAGAGGCTGCCTTATTTTTTCCTATTAATCTTCCTAAATGGTGTATGTTATGATATAGTCCCAGGAAGTTCCTATGTCTTTTACATAGGACATGTATGTATTAAATAACATACATATGGCTGTACACGTTTTGCTTTTTGGCATATAGTGCATATTTATGTGGAATTTTATATTGTGGTATACTTTTATACTTTAGAATACTTTAATATGTGTTATTTTTTCCTTGTCATAGCTACTAGGAATATGGTTCATTAGTGAATGGATGGCCACTGGAAAAAGCACAGCTTTCCAGCTGGTGGAACTGGGCCCAGGAAGGGGTACCCTCATGGGAGATATTTTGAGGGTAGGTAATAAAAGAATGTCTTCGTCTCATATAAGTGAATTTTAGTACTTCTGAGTGTACAAACTATGCTGATTTCATTGGTTTTCAGTTCCTTAATTTCATATTTCTCAGTTAATATGTCAGAATAATGTAATCAGACATTACTTTCTATTGTCTGTAAGCTTAAAAAGTGGAGCAGAGGGGAGAATATGAAAGCTAAAAATAGGAAACATTTAGAAGACATTATGGGAGAGTGTATTTGTTTGCTCAGGAAGGAAAGTTTTTAATTATATAAAAGTTTAGGCCGAGCCCGGTGGCTCATGTCTGTAATCCAGCACTTTGGGAGGCTGAGGTGGGCGCCTTTTTTTTGTTTTGTTTTGTTCGAGACAGAGTCTTGCTCTGTTAATCAGGTTGGAGTGCAGTGGTATGATTTTGGCTCACTGCAACCTGTCTCCCAGGTTCAAGCGATTCTTGTGCCTCAGCCTCCTGAGTGGCTGGGATAACAGACGTGGGCCACCACACCCAGCTAATTTTTGTATTTTTAGTAGAGAAGGTGTTTTACCATGTTGGCCAGGCTGGTCTTGAACTCCTGGCCTTAAGTAGTCTGCCTGCCTCGGCCTCCCAGAGTGCTGGGATTATAGGTGTGAGCTATCACGCCCCGCCTTCTACAACCATTTTGAAAAGCTGTTGGCCATTATCTACTAACATCAAAGTTTCTTATATTGTATGACCCAGCAATTTTACTGCTAGTGATAAACCCTAGAGAAACTAGTGTTATGTGTACCAGGAGAGACTTACAAGAGGATAGCAGCATTGTGATAAAATAGTGGAAAGCCGAAACAACACAAATGCCTATCAGATGGATAAATGAGTCAGTTAATTGTGGTATAGTCATACAGTGGAGTACCAAGTGCTACAAGAATGCATGCAATCACAGCAGAATATAACAATATTCAACATGAAACAAGATGTATGAAAGTAGCAATTTGCAAAAGAGTTCATATGGTATGATTGTATTTATATGCAATCCAAAAAATAGTCTACATTAAACAATATATATTTAGTGCTACAAATATATTTAGTAACATTTATAAAGAAAAGTCTGGGTATTATTAACTCAAGATTCAGAATCGTGGTGACTCCCAAGGGTAGAGGGAGTCCACAGGGGCTTTAGAGATAAGGCCATGTCTCATTTCTTTAACCAGATGGTGGGTATTCTTTCCTGTATCATTCTTTCTTTCAGTCTATGTAGTATTTTATAAAAATATTAAAAAGGAAGACAGTTGTTTGTAGTACCTGATAAGTAATAGTGTATCTTATTAAACTTTTGTAGTTTTAGTGTTTTGAAACTCATTAGTCTTTTTGAATTTATTTTATATGTACCTGGCAATTCAATGTACAAAACATGGCTGGGTGTGGTGGTCCGTACCTGTAATTCCAGCACTTTAGGAGTCCGAGGCTCCAGACTCCCAAAGTTCAAGACCTGCCTGAGCAACATGGGGAAAGCTCATTTCTATAAAAAAAAAAAGAAAAATTAGCCAGGCATAGTAGTATGCATCTGCAGTTCAAGCTGCTTCGGCGGGGCTGAAATGGGAGGACTACTTGAGCCCAGGAGCTTGAGCAGCAGTGAGCTCCCATGCTCATATGCTATTATGCCTCTGAGTGACAAAGTGAGACCCTGTCTCAAAACAAAACATAATATAAATCTAAATTTCTTGATGCTTTATGGTTTTTGCTTTAAATTAGGAATTGAAGGATTAAAAATATATATAAACATATGACAAACAAGAATCTTGATTATTTGGCTGAAGAAAGAAAACAACATCACAAATTTAAATTTCTAGGGCTTTATGTTTTTCAGCAAGGTCATTTGAATATAAAATAATGAATAAGGGCCTCAAATAATACTTTCTTGTTCAAGTACTTTAAAAGTCAACTCCAGAGCCCTTAAAAAAGTATAAAGAATGCTTTTCCAGACTGAGTCATAAGAACTCTGAAAAGCCAAAGAATTTAAAGGGATGTAAAGCAAATAGCCTAAAAAGTATTTACTAACATCAAAGTTTCTTATATTGTATGACCTGTTTTATTGTTGATCTTACCTTCTGAAAAATTTCTCCTGGGAAGTTTTTCCATGTGTATTTTGATCTCAAACTAAATTTGGAAAAGTCTCTTGTTCATATTATCAGTCTGTATGTGCGTATTCATATCTCAGAAGTATTAATTGGAGGCAGATCACCAGTAAAAATTACATTCAAATGAAAAATAACATTGACACATTTTATGCTTTTGCTATTTTTAGCCTGAAAAGATTGGTAAAATATTAGCATTTTCTTTTTTCCCTTGCATGTTTACAACAGTGAAAAAATGTGTAGCTAAATAAAAATGGAATATGTGACAGACCCCTGAGTTAAGCTGTCAGGTTTTCAGTGCCATTCAGATTTGGTTCTTTGAGGTTAGAGTTCTTATCTCAAAGATGAGGTTATTTCCTAGACTTAGAGGCGTTTCAAATCAAGTCTATCTACATTTTATTTTCTTGATCTTTTTTTAGACTTCATAATCTGAATCATTATTTTTATCAGATGCCAAATCTTTTATTTTCATTTGTTAATCGTAATTTATCATTAGGAAACCAAATTGTGCATTGTTCATTTCTTTAGATTATGCTTAATAACTAATAGGTTATGATTCTTACAGACTGCTGGAGAGTGGCTTCGGTAAGGAACAAATCTCTCTGAAATATTACTTCTATTGTGACATGACTAAATCATTGATGTTAATGATTAGGAAACTTAAAACCTACTTAACACATTGTATTTTGCCCACTTTTTTTCTTCTTTTGGTATTTAGGTGTTCAGTCAACTTGGATCTGTGCTGAAAAACTGTGACATTTCAGTACATCTGGTAGAGGTGAGCCAAAAATTAAGTGAGGTTCAAGCATTGACACTGACTGAAGAGAAGGTCCCATTAGAGCGAAATGCTGAATCCCCAGTGTATATGAAAGGTGTCACTAAGTCTGGGATTCCAATTTCCTGGTACCGAGATCTGCATGATGTTCCAAAAGGTAATTACTTTTACATGGATTAATGAAAGAATTTTGATCACAACCTTCACAGTAGTGATGGGATCATAACTTTTTACAGCAATATAACAGATTATGAGGTACTGCTGCCAAGTTCCTTATCCATAGAGAGTAGCCTATTTTTTTCTAGAAAAGAGCATCATAAGAGAAAATCAAGTTGCCTGACATTAACTAGCAGTTTATTTCATGTGGTTTTGTAGAATCCCAAACAAAATATAAATCTCCATTGTACTTTTGTGTATTTCCCTGTAGCTAGCATAGGACTGATGACGGAGCAGCCCAAGGCAGCTGGGGCTGATGGAAGCAGGGTTAGTAGGTGGGTTCAGTTTAGTTACTGAATTTTAAAAAAATTCTTTCTTGCCTAAAGACAGGCAAACTATGAGGTAAAATCCCTGCACTAGTCAGGAATACTGATAAATCCTGACTCAAAGCTAAAGTGGGGGTACGATCTTGGACAAGGGACTTCAAGCCATTCCTGGCCTCAGCCTTCTCTGGCTGTGAAGCCTGATTTTATGAAATCAAATTCCCTGCCAACCAACAGATCTGAGTTCTAATTTCCTTCAAGCCTAGTGATGAATAAAAGATTTAACTGATATTTCAGGTATTTCCATTCTCTGACCCCATTTATGTGTAAGATAAGAACAGCCATAATTGTTCTTTTGTATGTTCTGCAGTGTAAATTTTCCATGAAGAGGTAGAGGATTCTGTGGTAGTGATGATTATGGAGGAAGGAGGCATTTTCTTTTTTACAGTTAATGTTCAAAAGAATTAATTCCTGTAAAATGTGGAAATATTAATTCTTTTCCTCTTTTTAAATAGGACACAGCTTTTATCTTGCACATGAATTTTTTGATGTTCTTCCTGTGCATAAGTTTCAGGTATTGAGGGGGGAAAAAGGTCATGTCTATAATTGAATACAATAGGTGTTGTGTTGCCAATATTTATGGTGTTTATTCGGTATACAAACAGTACTTGTTGAGGTTATTTTTAACTATTATTTGGAATTTTGATACACATAAATAATTGAAAAGCAAAAATGAAATATTAAAGAGAATTTTAAATTCTAGGATAATTATTAAGAATTCTTAATTCTTCTAAGATATAGTAAGGGAATGAAAGATGGTAAGATGGTGACTGGCTGTAGTGCAATGAAGGATTTACTTGAGCAAACTTTTTTTTTTTTTTTTTTTTTGAGGCAGTCTCGCTCTGTCGCCAGGCTGGAGTGCAGTGGCGCGATCTTGGCTTACTGCAACCTCCGTGTCCTGGGTTCAAGCAATTTTCCTGCCTCAGCCTCAGACTACAGGTGTGTACCACCCTGCCCAGCTAATTTTTATATTTTTAGTAGAGACGGGGTTTTACCACGTTGACCAGGATGGTCTCGATCTCTTGACCTTGTGATCTGCCCGCTTTGGCCTCCCAAAGTGCTGGGATTAGAGGCTTGAGCCACTGTGCCTGGCCTTTTTAAAATTTTATTTTTATTTTTAATTTAAAAAAATTTTTTAAAAAAGATAGGGTATTGCTATGTTGCCCAGGCTGGTCTTGAACTCCAGTGCTCAAGTGTTCATCCTGCCTCAGCGTCCCAAGGAGCTGGGACTACAGGTGTGTACCACTGCACCCAGCCAATTTTAGCAAATTTTTAAAAATTCTAGATTCAGATTTTTTGGGCTCGGCATGGTGGTTTATGCCTGTAATCTCAGCACTTTGGGAGGCCAAGGTGGGTGAATCACTTGAGGTCAGGAATTCGAGACCAGCCTGGCCAACATGACAAAACCTTGTGTCTACTAAAAATACAAAAATTATCTGGGCTTGGTTTCACGTGCCTGTACTCCCAGCTAGTTGGGAGGCTGAGGCAGGAGAATCGCTTGAACCCAGGAGGTGGAGGTTGCAGTGACCTGAGATTGCAGCACTGCACTTCAGCCTGTCTCAAAAAAAATAAATAAAATTTTTCTTCATTCCTTCTGTGAGTAGCTTTAAGATTTGGTGATAATGTATGTGTGCTGGTAATTTGTAAGGTGAAGAGCAGCTCTCATGATCCTGTAGTAATTTGTTAGTAAAGCTTCTGGCTATTCCTCCTGAGTCTGTTTCCTTGTTTTGGGTACTTTGCATGCTGCTGATTTGCTTATCTTCCACGGCTTCATCTCTGTTACTGTTTCTTTTGCATCTGTCAGTCTACTGTGTTAGAAGGCAATGAAGTAATGAATTTAAGTAATTTTAAATAGTGAGGGCACTGTAAATGTTGGTTACTTATGGTAAGAGGAGAAAAAGCTATTTTTTTTGGTAGAAGCAATGTGGAGAACAAACTTGCAAAAATTTGTTTTCATGTGTTATTTTGTGTTTAGAAAACACCACAGGGATGGCGAGAAGTATTTATTGACATTGATCCACAGGTTTCTGATAAACTGAGGTTTGTTTTGGCACCTTCTGCCACCCCAGCGGAAATCTTCATACAAGTAAGAATATGCTTTTTTCTTCTAAGTTTCTTTTACTGCTAACAGAATCTTCAGTCTTATTTTCTGAGTTACTATTCTAGAGTTCTTTTAAGGAAGAGTTGCTAGTAGTATATGAGGTGCTTTTTATTGACACTGAAAGTACAGAGGAGCTAAAGTCAGGAGCATGGGTTAAAAATCATTTCTTAAGTGTGTGACCTTCGTGTGATGTAGGAAGAGAGAAAGTTAGTAAGCGCTTACTCAGCCAAGTCCCTTACTTTCACTATTGACCTCAGCTTCCTGTCAAATGGTAATGGTATTGCCACAGGATGAGTGTATGTCTGTGAAGGCAATGTAGTACAGACCATAGTGAAGTAACAACAGCTAATGTTTGTTGAGTACTTTGTGTTACTCTGTTTTCTCATTTAATTCTCAAAGCAACTGTGTATTAGGTAGTTTCTATTGTTATCCTTCTTTGGGCTAGAGCGTGGCTTTTTTCCCATGCTTCCACACAGATCTAAATTTGATTCTGCCAGAATGGTAGAATTGCTGCTGCTTTCTGTTGATGTCAAGGAATCATCACAGGAGCCTATCTTGGCTTGTTTAAAGGTTCAAAAAATCCCTGTACTTCTCAGGAATGTCCAGGCTTCAGATTGCCTCTTTTCTTCAGTCATTTTTTTCCAGCTCAGAAGATGATTTCTACTTTCTGGACCTTAACTAAGAATTTCCTACTCAAAAATTATCAGTTTTAAAAGCAGAAAAGCTTTTAAACTTCAATGTATGAATTAAGTGTTCTTTGTTAAGTGTAAATTTAAATATCAGCCTTAACACTTGTGAACACCTATTTTTTCTTTTTTTTTTTTCTCATTAAACTTTTTTAATGGGTCTCAAAATTCTGTGACAAATTTTTGGTCGTTTCCATTAAAAAGTACTGATTTTAAAAACTAATAACTTAAAACTGCCACAAGCAAAAAAGAAAACCAAAGTGGTCCACAAAACATTCTCCTTTCCTTCTGAAGGTTTTACGATGCATTGTTATCATTGACCAGTCTTTTACTACTAAACTTAAATGGCCAATTGAAATAAACAGTTCTGAGACCGTTCTTCCTCCACCACTGATTAAGACTGAGGTGGCAGGTATTAGGGATAATATTCATTTAGCCTTCTGAGCTTTCTGGGCAGACTTGGTGACCTTGCCAGCTCCAGCAGCCTTCTTGTCCACTGCTTTGATGACACCCACAGCAACTGTCTGTCTCATATCACGAACAGCAAAGCGACCGAGAGGTGGATAGTCTGAGAAGCTCTCAACACACATGGGCTTGCCAGGAACCATATCAACAATGGCAGCATCACCAGACTTCAAGAATTTAGGGCCATCTTCCAGCTTTTTACCAGAACGGCGATCAATCTTTTACTTCAGCTCAGCAAACTTGCAGGCAATGTGAGCCGTGTGGCAATCTAGTACAGGAGCATAGCCAGCACTGATTTGGCCTGGATGGTTCAGGATAATCACCTGAGCAGTGAAGCCAGCTGCTTCCATTGGTGGGTCGTTCTTGCTGTCACCAGCAACGTTGCCACGACGAACATCCTTGACAGACACATTCTTGACATTGAAGCCCACATTGTCCCCAGGAAGAGCTTCACTCAAAGCTTCATGGTGCATTTCAACAGATTTCACTTCAGTTGTAATGTTGACTGGAGCAAAGGTGACCACCATACCAGGTTTGAGAACACCAGTCTCCACTCGGCCAACAGGAACAGTACCAATACCACCAATTTTATAGACATCCTGGAGAGGCAGTCGCAAGGGCTTGTCAGTTGGACGAGTTGGTGGTAGGATGCAGTCCAGAGCCTCAAGCAGAGTGGTTCCACTGGCATTGCCATCCTTACGGGTGACTTTCCAACCCTTGAACCAAGGCATGTTAGCACTTGGCTCCAGCATGTTGTCACCATTCCAACCAGAAATTGGCACAAATGCTACTGTGTCGGGGTTGTAGCCAATTTTCTTAATGTAAGTGCTGACTTCCTTAACGATTTCCTCATATCTCTTCTGGCTGTAGGGTGGCTCAGTGGAATCCATTTTGTTAACACCAACAATTAGTTGTTTCACACCTAGTGTGTAAGCCAGGAGGGCATGCTCTCGGGTCTGCCCGTTCTTGGAGATACCAGCTTCAAATTCACCAACACCAGCAGCGACAATCAGGACAGCACAGTCAGCCTGAGATGTCCCTGTAATCATGTTTTTGATGAAGTCTCTGTGTCCTGGGGCATCAATGATAGTCACGTAGTACTTGCTGGTCTCAAATTTCCACAAGGAGATATCAATGGTGATACCACGTTCATGCTCGGCTTTCAGTTTATCCAAGACCCAGGCATACTTGAAGGAGCCCTTTCCCATCTCAGCAGCCTCCTTTTCAAATTTTTCAATGGTTCTTTTGTCGATGCCACCGCATTTGTAGATTAGATGACCAGTAGTGGTGGACTTGCCCGAATCTACATGTCCAATGACGACAATGTTGATATGAGTCTTTTCCTTTCCCATTTTGGCTTTTAGGGGTAGTTTTCACGACACCTATGTTCTGACGGCAAACCCGTTGCGACGAACACCTATTTTTTCATACTATGGCAACCTAAATTTACCTGAACGACAGTCATAAAACTACCAAGAACTAAATTCCTGGCCTTGGAAGTTCATTTAGTTCTTGACCTGGTTAGTATTCACTTAGGGAGGGAGGGAGTGAATTTTCCCTTTCACTCGAATGAGATGAATGGTAATACGACTTGTCATCTTGAAGAGTTGTCTAAGATAGTAAGAATGTCAGCATGATCAGCATGTCAGCTGATACCTGATGAGGCTGACTTCATGGTTTTTATAGTTAAGCCACAGTAGTTTGCACTATGGGCTAAATGGTTTATTATGTTATTTAATTCTCAAACCTGCAATATCTATAAGAAATAAAACAACTCAGAAAGTTTAGGTTACTTGTCTACCAGTAAGCATAGGAAGAGCTGAGATTCAGCTCCATCTGACTCTATGCCTGTTATCATAGGCAGACATGAGGGGAGTTCATTACTGCATTTCTATAATAAGGTGTTAGGAAGGAGCCCAAGTTAATGTATGTTTTCATAATGAAGGGAAAGAAATATCACATTTTCAATCAGATCAGGAAGTAGGGAAATTTCATATATACTAGTCAGGTTGACAAGTGTTAATACTTAGCGTCATTTTGCTTTTTAAGCTAGTACACTCTTATTGTGGCCCCTTAGTTAATAAGTGAACATCTTGGGTAATCAGTGGTTTCATTGGCACTAGTTTATAAGCCGGTGTTTCTTGATGTAGGGCATATCACTGGGATACTTTCTGGCACAACAGAGGGCATGATAATATACTTGTTTAATAGGGTCTGCTTTGTGTTACTGGATTTGTATCTTTTGTTCTTTCACCACAATTTTTTCATTGAGTATTATGTGCCTGGCACTGTTCTAGGCAGACAAAAACCCATTTCCCATGCTTTCAACCTAGAGTCATATATTTATGTGATTTGTGATATAAAAGTAATTTTACATTAAATAAAATGATAATGCTCTAGGCCATTTGGGGGGATTGGGAGGGCATTTGCCTTTTTGTAAAAGAGATTAAAATGTGTTTGTAAATCAAGTGGATAGCATCAAAGAACTAAGGAGTTTTGTATAATAAAAAGGAAGTCAGGTGAAAAGTTGGATGTAGAGAACATACTCAAGAAAGAATTTATTTTTATTAAAACTAAGAAGTGCTCAGGAAAAACCTGAAAAACCCTAAGGAAGTAATTCTTTTGAATGATGCATTTTGACTCTTGCAATGATTCCTTTACCAGCATGATGAAACAAGGGATCACATTGAAGTGTGTCCTGATGCTGGTGTTATCGTTGAGGAACTTTCTTGGCGCATTGCACTAACTGGAGGTGCTGCACTGGTTGCTGATTATGGTCATGATGGAACAAAGACAGATACCTTCAGAGTATGTATAATTCAGTAACATTTATCTGAATTTCAGTGTTAGATCTGAAGCTCATTGAAGAGCTTTGATTTCTACAGTGCCTGGTATTGTTGTATTACATTATTTTATAGTTAACATTAATTCATATTATTATAATTCTCCTTAACCCTAGTTCTTACTCCTAACTCTGAGTCTACTTTCCAGCCCTCCTTTGAACAGGATCTGAATTGTTTACATTCTTCCTTAGTTGTAGAACCTAGGTTTACATAAATCCAAATAAGCAGCAGAATCATACAAAGATTTTCTTCATGTTCTTAAACATTTCCATCTGTACCTCCCCTTCACTCAAGAACAATTTTGGTACTTTGCAGATTTAAACTACCTATTGTAATCATTCTTTTTCTATCATATTCTCAACATTTTTTTTCCCTTTCCAGATGTATTCTTTTACACTGTTCCTACACATCCTTTCTTAATAATCTTTGAATATGACCAATTCTATTCAATATAGTTTAATTGAAAAATATTTAACTAAATGCTCTTAGTCATTTTCTAGGTCTGTGATTCTTAATTTCTAACTTTATTGTATCTAAAAATAACCTGAGAGTTTGTTGAAAATAGTCATTCTTTAGCCTCACCTGCAGGATTCTGACTGACCAGGGTCTGGTTAGAGTCAGTAATATATTCTCAGGTGATCTTTAAGTAATTTCAACTTTTATTTTAGATTTAGGGGGTATATGTGCAGGTTTGTTACTTGTTACATGGATGTATTGAATTGACACTGAGCTTTAGGGTACAAGTGAGCCCATCACCCAGGTGGCAAGCATAGTACTCAGTAGGTAGATTTTTAGCCTTTGTTCCCCTCCTCCTGAGTCCTCCTAGTCGTCACCAGTGTTTGTTCCAATCGGTATGTCCATGTGCACCCAGTGTTTAGCTCTTACTGAGATGTACATGTGGTATTTGGTTTTCTGTCCCTGCATAATTCACTTAGGATAATGGCCTTCAGCTGTGTCTATGTTGCTGAAAAGGACATGATTTCTTTTTTTTTATGGCTGTGTAGTAGTTTGTGGTGTATCTCAAGTGATTTTGATTTACATGGTTGATAGATATACTTTGTAAAACCCTGCGTAGGTGTTCCTTGCCTAGAGAATTAATGAGAGCTCCATTCCATCACCTCAAGCATTAACGTAAATAACTATTAAGGGTAGTAGTAGGCACTCTGATATTGTACTTTCTATTGGTTTTCCATGTAGTATCTCATTTGAAGAAAGGATGCTTTGCATAGAGTCTGTAAGCCACAGATTTAGGCCATATTTTCCTTTGTAACAGATGCTATGTAAAAATGTGTTAATATGATAGCATTTCTTTAATCTTGATAACCATAAAAGGGCAAAAATCTAATTTCTTTATGTTCAAGGGGTTTTGTGGCCACAAGCTTCATGATGTCTTAATTGCCCCAGGAACGGCAGATCTGACAGCTGATGTGGACTTCAGTTTTTTGCGAAGAACGGCACAGGGAAAAGTAGCCTCTCTGGGCCCAATAACACAACACACGTTTTTAAAAAACATGGGTATTGATGTCCGGCTGAAGGTAAGGTTTATTTTATTTCACTGTTATTAAATACTTTAATTTCATAGTATTTCAAAAATTAAATAGTAAGTTCACCTGGCCTTAATGGTCTTGTAGTATAGCTAATCCTTGGTATTCCAGTCTTTTCAGGTAGTGTAGGATTTAGTAACTAGTCAGGTAAGTTTTGTGCATCTCAGACTTACAAATAGCGTTTTTGTTAAGAAAACTGCATTTATGGGTATGAATTTTCTAACTGTTCTTCTGAAGATACCTAAACCTTACTGTAGATCAAACTCCCTGGGGTTATTTGTTAAAAATGAAAATCCTTAGGTTTGTTTCACCTATATTTTTAATAAGTACTCTACGATTCTCAGGCAGGTAATCAGAAGTCACATTTTGAGCCCTGTTTTGTTGGAATATTTGAGAATTATTAGTATTGCTGCATGTAACTAGGAATTCTTTCTTCTGGTTATTTTTGCTAAGAATTTTTTTCTTTTCAGGTTCTTCTAGATAAATCAAATGAGCCATCAATGAAGCAGCAATTACTTCAAGGATATGATATGTTAATGAATCCAAAGAAGATGGGAGAAAGATTTAACTTTTTTGCCTTGCTACCTCATCAGAGACTTCAAGGTGGAAGGGATCAGATGAATGCATGTCAGTCAAAACCCTTTGCATCCCCTGTAGCTGGGTTTAGCGAACTTGCTTGGCAGTGATATTTCAGCTTGGACATTTTACCCTTCAGTCTGCCCAAGAAATCAAAATAAAGGAAACATATTTCATACATTGCAGGTAACAAACTTGTTAAAAAGTATTTTATCTTTTCACAGTCAGTAAGAACAGCCCAAGTTATATGTAATACATACATAATACAACCAAAATTATAGAACTTTTAGGGTTTTGACTGGCTTTTGGTACAAATGTGTGCTCAAGCTACTAAGTTATTGTGAAACTGAGTTTTCTTTAACTTATAAAGGTAGTTGCCATATTTCGATCTTATTTTAAAAAGTAAACATGGGCACTGATCAGTTTAATAAAAATTGGAAACAGCCTAAATGATTATTAACAGGAAATTGATAAACTCTGTCGATATACCTACCTGCTTTTTGAGATGGAGTCTCACTCTGTCACCAGGCTGGAGTGCTGTGGTATAATCTCAGCTCACTGCAACCTCTGCCTCCTGGGTTGAAATGATTCTCCTACCTCAGTCTCCCAAGTAGCTGAGACTATAGGCGGGCATCACCATGCCCAGCAAATTTTTGTATTTTTAGTAGGGATGGGGTTTCACCATATTGTCCAGGATGGTCTCAATCTCTTGACCTTGTGATTGACCAACCTCAGCCTCCCAAAGTGCCGGGATTACAGCTGTGAGCCACCGTGCCTGGCCCTATATATTATTTTTTAAAATGAGCTAGAGCATTATGTTTTGACATAGAAAGGTCTCTGAAATTTAGTAAGTGAAAAAAGTAGGATGTAAGAGTTTTTATAGTTACGATTCCATTTTTGTTGAAAGAGAAAAGCTATCTTTAAATAAACACAAGTAATGTCATAGAAACTAATACACAGTGTCCAGTCGTTTTCTGTGGTAGGTACTTGCATACAAAGTAAGGAATGAATGCACAATTTTCCCAATTTGGAAGTGAGTTTGGGGGGCAGGGAGTGGGTTGGTATTGGAATTTTTTACATTGTGCATCTGCGAATTTTATAAATAAAAACTAATTTTTTTAAAATTATAAAGGTCACAGTAAGAAACAGTAAATCTTGACATGTAGTTCAAATATGAGTTGGAGACCAGCCTGGCCAACATGGTGAAACCCTGTCTCCACTAAAAATACAAAAATTAGCCAGGCATGGTGGTGGACACCTATAATTCCAGCTACTTAGGAGGCTGAAGCAGGAGAATCGCCTGAACCTGGGAGGTGGAGATAGCAGTAAGCGGAGATCATGCCACTGCACTCCAGCCTGGGCAACAGGAGGAGACACATACAGACACACACACACACACACGGACTGCCTAAGAGGAATAATTTTCAGATAAATGTCAAGTTTTAGTTCTGTATTTTCATTTTTTGGTTTTTAGAAGCTCTGTGTCAATACTGGAAGCATGGACTTAAGAATTGTTAAATTAGCAACACAAATTTACAAGGGAGGTTAAAAGAAAAGAATGCTTACCATATGTCTTAAATTTACGGCTTAACTGTATCAGCAGTTCATTGGTAGAGTGATGAACCGTTGCTTTTTATTGTAGCTTCTGCTTAACAGGAATAGCATTCTATCTTACTACATGGCCCAGGGGCCGCATGTGGCCCAGGATGTCTTTGAATGTGGCCCAACACAAATTTGTAAGCTTTCTTAAAACATTATGGATTTTTTTTAAGCTCATTAGCTATCATTAATGTTGGTGTATTTTATGTGTGGCGCAAGGTAATTCTTCCAATGTGGCTCAGGGAACCTAAAAGATTGGACACCCCTGCACTAAAGTAAAGGAAAATGGAGGCCTTACTTTTCAGATGCTGCCCAGCCTCGGGCCAACTAGTTGTTCTTATTCTATATTCCTGTACAGTATTTGTTTTCTTTTCTTCAAAGACTTGGTTGGGAGAATTTTTGAAAGATGAAAATGTCCATAGTTGGCTCCTCTCAGATATGTTAAAGTGTTTATAATTAAGGGGCTAGAGTTATAGGCAACACCTTGTACCTTAACACCTAGAAAGTTTATTTTGATGCTAGGTTTTTACCTTTTTAAAGCCTTTTGTTAATATAACAGTTGGATAATTTGATGATAGTTCCTGAAAAAGTAGTAGTTATAATTACTTCAAACTTTACAAGAAATGAGACCTCCAGATAATCACCTCAAATTTAGTATAAAATTATAAAATGAATTTTGTTTTTATTTTTGGCAGGTAAAAAAAAAATCAGTGTTTTAAAATATAGCATTAGTTCCATTTACAAATACTGTTTCCAAAATAGGTCTTTTACCAAGGTCTGGTGAAATAATACAACCAGATAAAAAGTTTCTTTGGATACTTCTACTAGAAATAGGCTCAGGTTTTCACATGGAAAAGTATGGTGATATAGAAATACATTTTATTATCAAGCTTCCAGTATATTTACAAAAAGTTGGATGTAACAAAAAAATATAAAAATGTACTGAACAGCCATTATAGACTACTTTGTACATTATCAAATGTTTCTAGCAAACAATTACTTCTTATACAAACATGACAAAAAGTTATGCAGGTTATACAGTATCTGGAGTAATTATTCAACTCCAGATTCTTTGACAGTGCCTTTACAAAATGTTTTAGAAAACTTCTTAGGCATTTAACAACAAATACAAAGAGTGCAATTAATTTCATGGCTTGTAAAGTTTGCTTATATAAGTATAGCAAACAAACATCATTCCAGTTAATTTTCACCTTATGTAGTAAAACCACAGTAGATTGCCTAGCGACTCAGACTATTCCATTTTGGGTGTGTTGTTATAAACAGACTTTGGTGAAACTGGGAAATCATCCTCTATCATAGGGAAAGTAACATTGCTAAATTTTTTAAAAATTAATTTGGTTTAATCTTTGAAGCTTCTATAGAAGGACAAATTACCAAGAGGGGAATATTTCCTGGAGGCATTTATGGGTAGACAGTACAGCATAATGTTGGGAGGGTTAAGGGAGATTAGAGCCATACTGCTGGCCTCCAATACATGTACTAACTGTATGCAATTTGGCAGGTTCATCTCCCCTTGCCTCAATTTTCTTAAGATGGAGTTCATAATGACTTAACATTATGGCTGTTGTTGTCAGGGTAAACTAAAGCATAAAAGAACTTAGAACACAGGAGCACTGCATAATGCTTGCTACTATTCTTTCAAGGGTATTTTTAGTCCTAGATAGGAGAGTAGCTTCAGGGATCTCTAAAGACCTTCTCAGTCTGTTCATATACAAGAACATTCTTTTCTTTTGCTACCTCAAATTTGGTGGGCAATGATAGTTAACACTTTCCTAGTTTTTAGTTTATTTGACTACATTCATACATATCTGATCTTCACGGCAACACTGTGACAAAGGCAGAGGCAAGAATTACAATCTTCATTTTACAGAATGAGGAACTGAAGACAGACTGCGATCTGTCCAGGCCAACATTAACTAACAAGTAATGGATCCAAGGCTTGAGCAGAAGTTTTGCTCTTTTACTCTTGTTAGAGTGGAGAAAGGAAAAAAGTTTCTTACAAGTAGATGGTCCCACATCTTAAACTGGGGAAGATATTTAAAAATATTTTTTAAATAGCTCGCTGCTGGAGCTGAAATGTAAAAAGAAGTACTTCTTTCATTCTTTAATTTGCTGTACTGATAATACAGCTCTAGCCTTATAAACTGTTTCATGCTCCACTCCTATCCATTCCCCCAAACTACTTAAAATAATTGATTTAAAAACACTCCAAGTATCTCCAAAGCACTCCATAGGCTAAGGGAAGGGAAAAAAAAAGGATACTGTTTGCTATACAGTAACTGTAGCATTAACTGACCCTGCACTGGCCCAGCTAAAAAGCAGAAATTATTGAACCCTGGGGGTGGAGATACATTGTGTAAAGTTGAGATCTGCTGATGGTGAACAGTGGAATCCAGTACTGGCATCAGGATGGTGTCAGTCAGAACATGCATATTTAGCAGTGGAGTGGAGCTATGAAAAGATATACAACTCAGCACTTAGACCAGCAGTCCTCTTCCTTTGTAACATCCTTTTCTCCTAATTATCTTAGATGTTGCAACATACAGAAGGTAACAATCCTTATGTTGTATAGAACATATTCAGAGTAGCAGAGCAACTCCCAGAAGGTTAGGAATCACTGTTTTAGAGTCTTGATTCACCTAAAAAAGAAAGGTGAAACAGCGCAGTGCTCTTTTTCTAGGCATCTAAGAAAAACCCTTCAATGCCTCTATGGTTGGTTAAAACAATGTTAAAAGTCCTTATAGTAAAATCACAATGGTAGCCTCACAGTTATCTCTTAAATACAAGCCTGTTTATTCATCAATCTGGTAAGTCTTGTGTAATTTAGCCAAGCTATATAATAACTGGATGCTAGCTTGACTTGTTTTTCCTTAAAAAAACAAAACAAAACAAAACAAAACACACATATATATATCTATATCCTATATATATAGGATATAGATACAGATATATATGTATAGGATATCCTATATGTAGGATATGTGTGTGTGTGTGTGTATATATATATGTATATATTTAGGATATAGGTATATATATAAACAGAAAAGGGAAGACAAATTAAGTGGCCCTATTGCACTAAAGTGAAGGATTAGAAAAAAATACAAAACCAGTTATTGCTTAGGCTACAAAAGTTTATAAAAAGCTTCACCTTGATTCCATTATGAGTTCTTATTATTCAGTTTCCCTCCTGTACCTACTCAGTATGGACTACAGTACTGGTGTCACTGATTCCTTATCATATTTCCTCGTATCTTTGCATCCTTGCAGATGACAGCCTACAAAGAACAAGTTATTCAGCAAAATATCAGTCCATTAAGTGAAATCCTTCCTTATTTAGGTTAACTCAGTGATTAAGGATCTTCTTCCATATCATCTGGATTAGGAGCCATAATGAAGTGCTTTGGGTATACAAGGTTATGTGTGTATGCATGTATTTCCCAGCGAGCATCATCACTTTCATGTGTAATGTAACGTTCTCCAATGCGAGTTTCAAATTCCCTAAGGTCAAGCCAAGTCTGATAGTCCTAGGAGAAAATGAAGTAATGATGAAACATGAAAGAAACAAAATACTGTCTACCTGGTTTCTTGTTTTGTTTGTTTAGTGCCCAAGTCAAATAATTGATAGGCCCTACTCGTAAGTATATGCTATATGCTAAGTTCTACTTGTGATATTTTAAATTAGCAATTTAAAGAACATTTTCAAACTCAGTCTCCAATGAATGAAAGTAACTAATTTCTGAAATTTAAAAAAATTTGCTTCAGGCTTCTTAGGTGGCCAATAATAATCACTAAGACATTTTGTTCTATAGTACGTGAGGCCTAAACTTTACTCCTCAAAGTAGGGGGAGAGTACTTGGACGCTTATTATTAGGATAATTTAGTAATTGGTAGACTAGATTTCATTTGGTTTAAAGCTAATTCTACCTCTCACTCCCTTTAAAATAGTTCTAAAGATTCCATCCTTACTCTGAAGTAACTTTGGGAAAATTAAGCCAAACATTTTAAATGGCATTTTAAAAATCTCTTCAATGCAAAAATAAACCCTTCACTGGACATTTAAAATAAAATATATTTGATAAATTAGTATGTCATGTTAATCCTACAAAAAGGTGAAAGGAACACATAGGTCTATGAAAGACTAAGTCATTGCTTTCAGTTCATGGGAGTTTAACTGCCTCTGTCATTACCTATTTGAATGCTGTCCAGTTTACAGAGATTCAGCCATAGTACAAATTAATTACTGAAGAGCACTTACATTATTCTGCTGATCTTAGAGTGGTTTCATTAGGTAGGACAAATCAGAGTGAACTACTCAAATGAGGATTGCCAAAGACAGAATAAGTTTTTTACCTGGAGCCAGGGATGACTAAGAGATTTGTCAACACTATAACGTTTTCTCATCTTCACTTGAAGCAGATTGTTTATCAAATCAATTGCTAAGGGAAAAGACAAAAGGAGAGACATGAATTTGGGTGTACAGAGTGCCCCAAACCTGTGACTCAGTTCAACCCATAGAAATACAGGATTGAGGGATTTTTGCTTCTCAAGAACGTGGACTTTTAGCTTACATGTTAAGTGAATCATAAATGTTTACCGATTTAAATGTATCTGTCCAGTTTTCATTGCCTTTATAAGGCAGTATAGAGTACAGGTTAAAAGTATGCACTCTGGAACCTGACTGCCTGGGCTGAAGTCTGGTTCTGCCACCTACTAGCTGTGTGATACTGGGTCAGTTACTAAATTATGCCATGCCTCAGTTTCCTCATGAAGTTGCTGACGTATGTAAAGGGCTTAGAACAGTGCTAAGCACCTAAGTGCTAAGTATTAGCTATTGTTATTTAAAGATGAATGAAACAGACTCTCTGATTCCACCCCCCACCCCAATGCTGCTCTCTAATACCTGACTTGGTCTGGAAAAGCACTGCCTTGCCCCTATAGACATGGCTAGACTGAGGTGGTAACTTAACTATCAAATCATACTTTTAACAAATAGGTTTTCAGGGTGTTTTAGTGTACATGGTGAGTTCGTGGCATATATATTTTATTCAGTTGTTTGGGGAATGGATCAACTGCCAAACCAAGGCAACCAATAACTACATACTAACTATAGCCCTATATGATACAGCTGAAATACTGATAACAAAAGGCTAGATCCAGACACAAACCAAATGGAAAGACTTGTACCATCCTAGTTCTATTTCTTGTCTGTGTACTACCAAACTAGCAAAGATTTTCCATAAGTATTTTATGAATTTCTCTGTGTTCCAAATACTTCAGACCTTTATCTATTGTTCCTTAAAATGTGGTCCACCATGTACACCAGAATCATTTGGAGTTATTTAAAATGCACATTCCTGAGTCATCATCCCAAATAATGAATCTCAATCTCGGGGATTTCTCTTCTAATAAACTCATTAAGTGATTCTGAAAGAAGAGGTCTACAGAAGACACTGCCGCAGGGGCTATGAGGTAACATTGGTTAACATCAAAAAACTCTCTTATGAGCTTCTTCAATTAGCTTTCTTCATTACCAAGCAAACCTGCTACTGTTTTCACGTGTTCTTAAATTTTTCCCAGTTTAATGGAATATTAGTTAATCCTATGGTTAGGCCTAGTACTTTTGGAAAAAACAAAAACCCTGTGGGTTGGCTAAATCCAGGTGGGGGTGTTCCCCAGCATTGGTTCTATTAACTTCTATTGGACAGTAAAATAATGTTTTAAGTAGTGTACTTGTCTTTCCTATCAGTATCAGTAAACTAAAGAGGGCCAACCAAGTTATTCTTGATGGGTACAGAACCAGGAATTGCAAATTCAAAAGCCTTCAGTAGGCAGGAAAAAGAGACGTATTCAGTTTCCCAGCAGAGGTCTATAGGAGAGAGGAACACTGCAGTGCGTCTCTTGAATATAAAGTTCATTTTAGGTATAAGGAACCGGAGTTAGGTATTCATTCAAGGAGCTCACAATCTTGTTCTGAAGATTAGAAAAGTGGATTATGAAAAGATTGAATACTTAAGAAAAAAATGGGGCTGGGTGTAGTGGCTCATGCCTGTAATCTCAGCACTTTGGGAGGCCAAGTTGGGAAGATCAGTTGAGTGCAAGAGTTTGACACCAGCCTGGGCAACATAGTGGGACCCCATCTCTCCAAAAAATTAAAAAATTAGCCAGGCATGGTGGCCCATGGTACATGCCTGTCATCCCATCTACTCAGAAGCTGAGGTAGGAGGATCACTTGAGCCCAAGAGTTGAGGCTGCAGTGAGCCGTGTTTGTGCACACTTCAGCCTGGGTGACAGAGAGAGACCTCGTCTCAATAAAAATAAAAAGTAATAAAAAAGCCCAAATGCTTTTTAGCCTAAGTAAATTTCACACAGTTTAGAAGAGTAGTAGTTAGGGAAGACTTCATAGATGTGCCACAAATTAAGGGGTCCTCAAATTTTAACAGGAATTGTAGACGGGAAAAAAAAGGCCTAAGCAAATTGCAGGAAACAGTTCAGAAGAGTAAACAACTAGGTTTGTGTAGGGAGTAGTGGGAGATGAGGCTAGAAGGTAAGCATACATTATATGTGCATTGTATATATATAATATGTATATTATATATATACATATATATACACAGACATTATACCTGTAAAGTGGTTAGAGAGAAGTCAAAGTGTTTGGGAGCACCATAAATGAAAGTAATGTTTCCTGAAGATGCATTTGGCAGTAGTGACTGGGAAGGACCAAAAAAGAGTTTAACAGGTAAGAGTTAAAAAGATATTTTAGTGGTTTGAGAATGAGGCCATTGGGGCCTATGTAGTGCTATGCCTGGGAACTGTACATATGACAGAGATAAAAGTATAAAAGGAAGAGTGCTTAAAAAACTGGTAACTAGTTGAATTTGGAAGATGAATGGGAGATTTATTAAAAAGACAAGTTGCAAGTGACAGATTGATTTGGGATCAGAAAGATTTTTAGACTTAAAACACAGGGCCAAAACATAACAATTTTTTTTTTTTTTTTTTTTTTTTTTTACCTTCACCAGAAATTTCTTTCCATGGATTTGGTGGGTACATAAATGCAGCATTTTGGATCTGGTCATTTATATCTTCATCCTCATTAAAAGGAAATGTGCCACTGAGGCTCACATAGATGATAACTCCCACTGACCACATATCTAGAGAACGGTTGTAACCTTTGCTCCGGAGAACTTCAGGGGCTAAGTATGCTGGAGTTCCTACCACAGATCTCCTGAATGACTTTTCACCAATGATGCGTGCAAATCCAAAATCACACAGCTTCACCTGGAAATTGAAGGATGATGTTAATTTTGTATTATAGTGTTATATAATTACCTAACTGGTCCCTAAATATGAGACTGTATGTATCATTTAAACATACTTGCCAGCTCTACTGATTATGAATATTAAAGAATCACAGATAGGGAAATTGTAGAATATGCTTTTCCCAAAAGGCAGACACATAAAGCACTGAGATCCTGACTGACACAGTCTGAAGAGCTTTCCTAGTGCATATTTCAAAAAACTTTTTTGAGTTCTAGCTTCTAGAATACCAAATACCAGACTGGTGTTATAAGTGTTCTGATTTCTTATGAAATGGAAGGTGCTGATCTCTATCATTTGTCTTGTAAGATCAATCTTCCATCATCTGAGAGCAGGGATTCTTTCATTTCTGAACCCTTAGTGGCCTCACAGTGCCTAGACACATAAAGGTACTCAATGTTTGCTGAATGAAAAATAAATTACAGTATTTAAAAACATCCCTTGTTTTGCAATCCTAGAGTCTCTTTTCCTAAGGATGTTATAAATTGGCAAGTAAATAAAACTGAGGTATATTAAAGGTAACTTTTAATGTGGACATCAGTGGAATAATGCTGGGAACTGCCCCAGTGAGTAACAGCAACACTTTTCTATGACTATGGAACAAATTATTTCTAGTTAGATGTTTAGATATGAAAAAAGTTACATGTAAAGAGGTAGCCATAGTCACTACCATGTCCTCTCAGAAGAGAGTTCTAGAAGTTGATGAGCCTGGCAGAACTCAGAACACTTATCTTGCTGCCCAGATTTTTCTAGAGGCTCAGATTTGGGGGATTAATGACTGCATCCATGCTGAACAAGCAAATGCCGGGTACTTTCTGGAGGAAATGCTCTGACTTATAAAATATCTTCAGAAAAAGCATTAACATAAATTGAGAGGAAAGAGATTTAGCCTCTAGAAAACAGTGATACAAACAGTGCCCAGAAAACACAGAAGCGAAGTTATATTCAAATGCTGCTATTTCTGGGAAGTGGACCCTGACACGTTTTTATGAATGATATTTGCTCAATGTCATTATTGAATCTGGCTGCTTCTTGAGTGTCTTTGAAGAGTCCAGTACTGAGCCTGAAGAAACACAAACGTTTTTTGTTGTTAAATGCCAGATTTCAGCTACCATCCTGATAAGGTAAAGATGACTTGGAAGTCTGGCAACTGATTAAAGAAGTGGAGCCATGGCTAACATTTAAGCATAAAGACAGTATCACGTAAATAACATTATTTTCCCTTTGCTCCTCATTGAAACACTGTAGATCACTAAAGTAGAGGTCAGAAAGTGGGAGTTTTAATGTTACCTGTAAGAGTGTGCATCTTTTGCCTATACTATTTTAAAGTATCAAGTGAGATAATATATGGAAGCAGTTTATTTAAAACATTGCAGTGACTATTAGGCAACCCTTTTGACTTCACAATGATAGGGAATCACCTTTAACCAGTAAACGTAAAAGAATGAGATTACTACTTTAAAAGCTGAACTATTTTTAATTTATCTTTTTTATTTGAAAAGACAATGAGTTGTATTTACCAAATGAAATAGCTATCTGATGTCCTTAGTCTTGCCATTTGTCTAAATGTACATGTTTCCAATGTACATAAACAATAGTTTGCCAACAGATATTAGAGCTGATTGGAGGACTCATCCATGCCAATCATGGAAAACGGCTGTAGGGCACCACCACCACCATTTATTTCTCAGGATGGTTTTAAAATTTAGGTTATCCATTTCATAGGTCATGAAATAAATTTAGTGGATCAAGATGAACACTTGAAAAAAAAAAACTGAAGTAAGAAGAATCAAAGAGGGCTACACGTAGCCAGGACACAGAACCATGATGCCATCATGTGTGGTGATAAGAAAGGTTATTCTTATGTAGGTTTTGGTGAAAATGTTTGAAATACAATACTCTAAACAGGAAAGGGAGTTGGCTGCCTGCCTCTACCAAATATCTATCTTTCATTTCCGGTAACACCCCATTTGTTTTATTTATGAGTAATTCATCCTAAGTACCAAGCACCAACAATCAAAGTTGATTCTTGCTCACTTCATTCCCAGCCCCTGGGGAGAGGTGAATTGCAGAATCTACGTGCAGTTATTCCTTTAGTTGTGGTTAAATCTAAAAAGTCTTGAATATAAACATTGTAACATCTGAAATTAACCAAATGATTATATATGATTATAAAAAAATAACATCTGAATTCATTTAGTTATTAATCCTCACTGGTAGTTGCAGGCTAAAAACTATTTCTGTAAGATGGTATGCACTTTGAACCAACAGTACTTAGTACACTGCCTTTTATTATGGGGGTACTTTGAAAATGCTGCTAGAATCATTTAAAAGGCTCTGGAGAATATCTCACCTGAGGAAATGGTTCTGCTGATGCAAGCAGCACATTTTCTGGCTTTAAATCACAGTGCACAATATTCTTAAAATGCAGATTCCTCAAAGCAACAAGTATCTGTTATGAAAAAAGATTTTTTTTTTCAATGTCTGGAAAACCACAGTTAAACCTCAGTGTGACTCTTTGAATGGTTTATTTTGAAAACTCCACTATAGTTCATCAAGACTTAGCTAAAAGTGTGTCATTCTGCTTCTCAAGGTTAACAATTCCCACAGTCACTCAACATGTAAAAGCACTGCTATTTAGTTATTTTAGTTTTTAGCTGGGTGCAGTGGCTCCTGCTTGTAATCTCAGCACTTTGGGAGTCCTAGGCAGGTGGATCACTTGAGGACAGCCAAGAGTTTGAGACCAGCCTGGCCAACATGGTGAAACCCCATCTCTACTAAAAATACAAAAATTAGCCAGGCGTGGTGGCATGTGCCTGCAATCCTAGCTACTTGGGAAGCTGAGGTTGCAGTGAGGTGAGAGTACACCACTGCTCCCTAGCCCAGGTGACAAAGTGAGACTCTTGTCTCAAAAGAAAAAAAAAAAAATCTTAAGTTTTTACTCTCTAGTTTCCAAAGTGGGGGAAAAAAAAGAGTTAAAATACCTGTGTGACCATGAATTTAGTAATTCGTTCTGGAAGCCGACTTTTCTCACTGGATAGAATCATTTCCAGCATATCTCCATGCAGCTTTTCCATTACTACAAAGACTCGTTCTGGGGTTTCAAACATACATTCCAGGTTTACAATCCCAGGATGGTGCAAATTCTGAAGAGAGGTTGCAGGATATTTATATGACCAACTTAAGCGGAGAAAGTTTTACTAAGCAAATATTCAGATGTACTATGATTGTCTGAAATACATAGCACAGAAAGAAAAAAGCTGAGAGAATTCTTAGGTTTTGATTTCCTAGTCGTGTACTGGAGAGTAGGCGCACTGAGGGGAGAGAATGTTCTCCTAATTTGATTATATGATCACTTTCGTCCATTACTACTACTTTTCCTTCCTTCCTCATTTGAAAAATCTGACTGCTCTAATTTCATGCTGTCCTTGAATAGGCACCAACTGCTCATAAATTATCAGTCAATTATATAGATATCTTTGGCTCTTAGGGGCTGTATTTGTGAAGGTCTTTGCTTAAGAAAGTTTTATTTCTAAGACAGTTATTTATCTAAGTCTTGATTCTCATATTGTAATAACAATTCCCTCTTTTTAGGCTCAACATCTCTCTACCTGCATTATCCCATGTTTCTTGATGAAAACTAGGTTACAAGGGTTGGAGATACACAAAGATGAATGCCATACTGTTTATGCTTACAAAAAAGCAATTTATCTTGTGTTCTATTGCAGAAAATCCTTCCTCTAAAACAAATTCATCAAGTCAGCCTTGCTTAAACACCTTCAATGGCTCTTTATTTCTGTATATAAATCTAAATTCCTTTGTCTACATTTTGAGATCTTCAATAATTTGGTTTCATTCTTTTGATTTAATTTTAAATATATTCTACAGAATGAACCAAGTGCTTAAACTATTTTTATTCCTTATTCATAAAAATATGGATGGTCCCCAACTTACGGTGGTTTGCCTTACAATTTTTCAACTTTACAATGGTACAAAAGTGGTATGCATTCATTCAGTAGAAACCACATTTTGAATACCTGCACAACCATTCCATTTTTTGAGTACAGTATTCACAAATTACATGAGCTATTCAACACATTAGTGTAAAATAGACTATGTGTTAGGTGATTTTGCCTAACTGTATGCTAACGTAAGTGTGACTGTGCTGAAGGTAGGCTGCGTGAGGCTAAGCTGTGTTCAGTAGGTATTTTTTATCTACTTAGTTATTCTCCAACTTAAGAAGGGTTTATGGAGATATGACCCCGTCTTAAATTGAGGAGCATCTGTACATTTTTCTTAAGTTTTTTTTCCTTAATATGGCTACCTGAACATGTTAAGGGGACTAACATTTTTTTGGCCTATGTGAGGCTGAGTTCCACCTCTAAAATGTTTTTGAAGCCTTCATTTTAGCCCACATTCTCTCTCTGGGACTACTCCAGTAGTTTCCACTGTCTTGTATATATGCAGCAGTACTTATTCCACTATATTGTAATAATGTGTGTATTTTACTCCATTGTTTAATAAATTCCTGAGGCACAGATTGTTTTAGTTATTTTAGCTCAATATCTGCATCATGATGTTTTCAGAAATGTTTAGAAAGTAAAATAACAACAAATGCAAAGTAGACTTTGCTAATCATTTTAAACCAATTTTATGAGATCATTTTCCAAGTAGCAAAATTAAAAAATCACAAAATTTTATAGTAGATAAATGAAACTGAAGTACCCCATAGTGGGGTGTGAAAATGGCAATAGGCAGTGTAAGATTCAGAATATTGTAACTTTTATCAACAGAGGTAGGAATGTGACTGTCTTGCTCTGCCATAGTTGTCCAGCTCTTAAATTGCTTTTTCCCCTCTGCCCTCCTTTAAAAACACATGTGGACAAACAAAAATACAAGTATGCTATGAGATTATTCTTCTCCCTTAATAAATTCCTCTATGGGTTTAAATTTTCTATTTCTTCTGGAGTATGTTTTAGTAAATTATACTTTCATAGAGAATTTTCTCCAGGTTTCCTGATAAAGATGAGCAAAGTATCATAAGATTCTTTTCCCCACTCCCTGTATTTGTGGTTCTTTCCCTAAGATCATTTTGTATTTTCTTCTTTGCTTAGGTTGGCCATTTTATTTTTACATACCTCCTCCCTTCCCTCACACAGCGAACCAGCTTTTGGCTTTATTATTTCTTTTCTGCATTTATTAATTTTCATTTTTGATCTCTGTTAATCCTTTCTGCTTTCCTTAGGTTTATTTTATTGTTCATTCTTCAACTCCTTGAGTTGAATTCTTAATTCATTTATTTTCATTCTTTCTTAATATTTGAGGTTATAAAGCTTTTTCTGAAAGACAGTACAAAGGTTCTGATATATATGGTATTTTCATAGTTTTCTAAATATTCTGAAATTTTGATTTTGCTCTTTGATTCAAAATTAATATTTTAAAGTTTCATGTTGTAGAAGCTTTTTGTTTTCTGATTTTTAATGCATTAAGATAAAAGAATACTGCTTATACTACTGCTTTTTTGAATTAATGAGGCATTCTTTGTTTTTAGGGTACAGAGTTGAGTATAATCTGATTAGATCTACCTTACTCGGTTTAGACCTTGTATGTTCTTAATTATTTTTGTCTACTCCATCTCTCATGGACTACTGATGTGCTTGTCTGTTTCTCCTTGCTTTTAGTTTTTCTTATAAATGTTTATGCTGTTACTTGGTGTAGTGTGACTTGTACTCTTCCACTGTTAAAAGTGGCCTTTCATTTCATTTAATGTGTTTTCCCTTGAGTTAAATCTTATCAGATCATGACCCTCAATTGGCTTTTTGTTTGGAGAAGAGACCTTTGGAGGATATCGGGGCTACAGATTTCATAAAGAACCAGCAAAAACAGTTCTTACTGTAGTGCTTCTTCCTGAATGCACCTCTGCTTCATCTTCCCTATTGCTGGAAACCTTCTGCATTATTTTACAGGTCTGAATTCCCTTCTATTTTGTTAAAGTATGCTCACTTCTGTTAATTTTTTTTTTTTTTTGGTAGCTTTGGGGTTATTTCCAAGATGAGAAGGGGAAAATGCTGAGAACTTATACCACAATGTTCAAACCAGAAATTTCCCTTTTGGTTTCTGATAACTTTTTCCAATTGCATAGGTACCTAGAAGAACACACCTTTTCTCCCATTACTCTACTGCCCTCTTCAGGCAACAGCAAAAGAAACATTTTACATTACCATATAATCTAGGAAACAAAAGAACCTCCCTTCCCCAATTTATTTCCTGCTCTACAGCATCCTCCCTAGATATGGCCATGTTGACAGTTTATGTAGGTATGGCTTTTTCTGTATATTAATTGTATATAGACATATGTAATGTACACATTACTTTAAAAAGTAAACACAAACGGAGTTATTCCAAACTTTTTTCCACTCTAACAATGTGTTATGATTTCCCACATAATACATTTATTTATTCAACATTAAATAAGAATTTGCCATGTACCCAGTACTATGAAGGTATTCTGAATTCATCATTAAACAAAACTCACAAAGATCCCTTGTCTCATGGAGCTTATAAATTATAGCAAGGTGAGACAGACAATGGGAAATAAACTAGTAAATTACCATGTATGAAGGCGATAAGTGCCATGGAGAAAAGAAAAAGAGTTAAGGTAGGCGAGTCAAGGGGTGGGAGAGTAGGTTTAATGCTGAATAGAATGTGGAGGCTTCACTGAGGAAATGGTATTTGGGCAAAATCTTGAAGGACACAAGGGAGTATGTCATGGAGATATTTGAGGGAGAAAACATTCCAGGCAGAGGAAACAGCTAATGCAAAGCCTTTTGAGACAAAAGCATGTCTGGCATGTTTGAGAAATAGCAAGAAGGTCAACATGGCAATTAAAAAAAAAAGACTCAAATTTGTTGTGTGTATTGTTTGCAGTAAAATCTTTTTCAAGTGATTTTAACTCATTTTCATAAAGAATAATCATAGGTATCTAAAAGTGGGATTGCTCATTTTTGTTAAACAGAAATACAAAGCCTGTCACCAAGAGCTCAAAAGAGGTTGGATGCTCCTGGATAAACTGTAAGGTCACCTCTAAATCAATGATCCTGTGATTTTTTTCTCCTTGACACTGGAAACGCCAAAGCTGTAGTCTTAATAATAATATGCTCAATCCCTTTACCCTGTCCTTTCTTTAAATATTTGGGCATGGGAAAGAAAAGCTATGGATGCCACTAGGGATGCAGGTAAAGCTATCAACACCAGGAAGAACTACAGGAGTTCAGACAGCCTTTCAGACCTGTGTGATGAGGGAGGACTACAGACAAGAATGACATGGGGCAAAGATGGAAAAGGAAAGATGATACAGTTGGATGGGGAAGAGGAGAGGCAAAAGGTGGTGTGAGTGCATGTAACACTGTAGTAGGTTACTTTCAACCCATGTGAAGAAGTTTAGCTGTTGTGATGCTCATATAACTAAATCTTATGAAACTAATTTCAGTAAATGAAGTATGATTTTAAAAAAGTTCCTTTTAAAAAGTGTATTTCCTACATGAATTCAGATTGTACTAATAGGATAATATCCTAGAATATCAATGGTCTATGCAAATAATATTCATATACAAAGTTAGCTACAGTTCATCTTTATCACACACACACACACACACACACACACACACACACACACACACACAC